ATTATCATTAAAAATATTCTTTCATAAAATTAAATCACATTCAGGCAATAAATATAATGAATTAGTTGATAACTTAGCTAAATCAGCTTTGCTTGAAATGCTCCACATAAATCCTTCTTCTATCAAACTCCATTCTCCAATCATATTCAATCAACAATATATTGATTATCCTCTATGTTCTTTCATAAAATTAAATTCAAACTCACAAGCAATAATTAAATGGCAAACACAACCTACCTTGGTAAAGCAAATTCCATCAAACACATCTATCAATTGGTCATATACAGAATTTTGTCTTAAATTCTCCCATTATTCAATGTTCACTGAAAATAATCCACACTTTTACCATGACTCATTATACTCATTCAAGCTTGAAATTCTCCATAACACATTACTTACAATAAAAAACTTAATATGCAACTATCCAACACTACTCCCACCCAATCTTAATTGTCTCTATTGTAATCAATCACCTGAAAATACTACACGCCTATGTTCTTGCCAAGCTAATTCTAATTTGGTCACAATTCCATGGCTAATAATCCAACAAATCAATAATCTCTGAAATCTCAAACTGGTATAGATCCTCCAAAATCACACAAACTAAACAACTATCACAACCTCTATTCCAATCTAACTTCAGCCATACTTCACCTGTAATACTTGCAGCTGGATTAATTCCATCATCTCTAATTAACTCCATGTATCCAATATTTACTTCTCACAAAAAAACTTCAATCATCCTTCACATCATCTCCTACAATCTAATAACTTTCTATTATAAAAATGTCTGGCTTCCACAATGTGCTTTGTTTAACTCATGGTTAAAACAAAATAATATCAACTTGAAAAATAAAACAGCTAATCAATTATACCCAATTAATCAGATGGCACAAACTCCCTCAAGGTCTCTTTCAAATCCTAATTCTAATAATTCTCATCTAGTTTTAATAAATAGTTTCATCAACACTGGATCTGACTTCCTATTACCTAGGTAATATCTGGATCAGTCAACAATATCTATGATGCAGTTAAAATTGTTATTGAGACTGAATAAACTTCATAGACTTTGTTTGGCATATCTGTTTTTTCTGAAATGTTAAATTTAAATCTGTATATATATATTTTTTTTAATTATTTTCAAGAGGAATAGCCTCATATAAAGTTAATTTGGAATTTATTTTGTGAATTATTTTTATTATATTTACTTTATTCTAATAAAATTATATGAGCAGGATATTGCCTTTATTAAAAAAAAAAAAAAATGTTATTATATTAATTGGAGGAAACATTATTAAGAAGATTACAACTCTTGAAATAATATTAATTAATCTAAAAATCCTAAATCTAGATACTTTTTTAATATTTTTCTTGATGCATCATCACCTTCATTACCATTTTTATGAAGCTTCATTGTTAAAGGTTTGGGTCCTCTCCAATTACTCATTAGAATATTTAATGAATGGTCATTAATATTAGAAACCTCACAAGTACAAATTATTGATCCTAATTTTTTTGGTAGTGTTTGATTTAATACTGTTAATATTTTATCACCATCAAGTCCATAAAATTCCTGCTGAGAACCATCAAATGTAATATCAAATGTAATACTTTTTAATTTTATACAACTATTGAGCACTTCCATTAATTCTTGGTCTAATTCATCTTCATAGATTGTTGATAAATTTTCTAAATTTTTACAAGATTGTGCAATTGATTGAAGTAGTTTTCTCACAAATTTGCTATCTCCAGGATCATAATATATATTATTACTAACATCCAGATTTTTAAGAGTTATACCATTGATATTAATAAAATCTGACAAGTCTGATAGGAATGATTGATTTATATTATATATCTTCACAGATTCAATATTTGGCAGTGAAATATTTTTCAAATTATTTAATCCATAACCAATAGTTGTTAATGATAAAGTTTTTAAATTTTTAAATGTTGATATTAATAAATCATCCAAACTATAATAAGATTCATAAAAAATTATTGATTGTGAATGTGTTAATATTGCTTCTTTTAATTCATCTGGTAAAAATTGTTCAGATACAATAACTAAATATTTAATTTGCTTTTGTGCTTTAATTAACTGTGCTAAGTTATATATATTTTTATCATTATAATAATATATTTTTAATGATTGAATATTTTTACAAACTTTTGTTAATTTATCAAAAAATTCACCACTATAAAAACTAGTACACTCTAATTCATAAAGATTCTGAAAGATATTATCAAATCTATGATGATTAATTAACAAATTACAATCTAGACAATAAGTAATACTAAACTTTCTAATGCCTGCTGAATGATCTAAAATAAATTCTACTAATTTAATTCGTAAAATTTGTGATGCACCAATTTTTATCAGGCATTCAAAATCATCATAATCAAAAAGTATAGTACTAAATCTGGCATAATTATATAAAGGTGGTTTCTCCAATAGTTTAAAAGTTAATTCAATGCAATATCTAGTCAAGAAATCCTCATCTTTTTCCAGTAAACAATTAATTAATATTTTGGTGCTGTCTTCACAAACAAATGGATCTTCCCATAAAGTTGGAATATTAATATTGTGCCATTGTTTGTTGACAAGAATACAAGAATATAATGTTTTATAGTCATCTTTGATGTATTTGAATATTTCAGTTAGAAGTTCAAATGGAAAATTAAACATTTTTTTTCTGAGGTATGTACAAAATAAATGATTATCTAAAAATACTGAAATAGACAAAAAGGAGGACTTGGGTTGAATTTATTGTACTAGTAATTGATCGAATTGACAGTCAATTAGTTAATATTAATAATTTGTATTATGTTGTATGTGAAATTGATTTATAATTAAAATTTTGGGGTGGGGGTGTTTTGGATATGAAATTGTGATTGGCTAATTTGAATTTCACGTATGTGAATTCACAGATTTCATTTTCACGCAACTTTAATAATCATCAATGTAATGATAATGTGGTCGTAATATTCGTTTTTTACTTTTTATTTATGTTTACTTCTGCGTAAAAATGACTAATATAAAACTCATTTATATCAGATCAACTATATAACCCAGGAATTATAATACAATCAAAAAATATTTTGAAAAGGAACAAGGTGAGAAAATTACTCCCTATCCTTGCTTACTCGATGGCTTTTGAGTATTTCACAGTCAAATTTCACAGAATGCTTTTTTAAAAGCTTTATTGATTTGTTTGAATTGATATTATAAATTAACAATTCCTAAAACTTCTGCGATTTTAAACGCAATGTTCTGTGACTGATACGAACATAATAATTTTTTGAGCCAAAGGATTTGGCATATAATTTTGTCCATTTAGTCTTTGTTAAATACATATTCAGGCAGCTCTTTGTCATTTTCGACCTATAATGACATGTATTTACATGTGTATATATATGTTACTTTATTTCTTACATATATATTTCAAATTTTATTTTTTGATAAAATGTTAAACTTACCAATCCAGGCCACCACAGAAATTCTTTTAATTTAGCAACCACTATGTTGCCCCCTTCAAACGCCATTATTAACATTAAAACTAATATAAAAGTTAATGTTTAAAAAAAAAAGCAATAAAGAAATTATTTGCGTGTGCAATTGAACAATTTTAGTATTAGGCATAAATAACAAATTACCAGTGGAAAGGAAAGGAAAATTCAGATTTACAATTTTAATATTAAGATTATTTCCTTTACATTTTTTATTTTTATTTTTAAAAATCCATTAGAACTATAGAAAGATGATGAAAATTCATTTGTCGCATATTTATTATTAAAAAAAAAGTTGAAATTATCTATTTTGATAAGAAACGAAATTGATTTTTTTAATAATATGTATATTTATTTTTACTTTTTTTTTTTTTCATTATCGTAACTAAATTTTGAAATACAAATCGAAATAAATTTTTGTTCTTATTATTGATTAAATTACTTTGTAATTACAAATCATGTAATATTTTTGTAGAGTAATATTATTGTTCACAATTAATAAAAAAATAATGCATACAAGATTGACATAATTGATGTCGACATTCAATCTAAATCTAAATTTTCCCACTTTAACCATTCTACTTTGCATCCAAATCAATGACCTGTGCTAAAATAACACTTTGAGCTCTTTAATTAAATTATCATAATTAAGTCATTTGCTTCTTGACACCATTCTTTTACTACTTCAGCTGTTGGGAGATTAGAGAGATTATATGTAGAAACGCTTTCAGAGGAACATGTAACATTAGACATGATAAAAAGAGTAGTACGAATAGAATGAATATGGAAAATTTTTGTATGCAATTCTTTTAAAAAGAAAAGATCTGTAGTGATTTTATATAAGGATCTGCAAGGTTAAGATACTTAATATCCCAATAATTTTTAATTTAAGAATAAAATTGTTTCTTTGAGTTCAATTATTCATTGTTTACAATATTGACCTGAAATTGTGGCTGGTGGACTAAAAGTTTCTTGGGGCTTCAAATGATCTTACTACAATACACACACACAGTATGTGTATTGTATCAGTTATTATCAAATTAAAGTTTTTTGATAATCAATTAAATTGTTACTATAGATACAACATTGAATGTTTATTTAAATGACAGACCTTACCTACAGGAATATTTTGAGGAGACATTTAAATCTGTTGGAAGTAGTAAATTAAAAAATTCTATGTAAAGATCAGCATCCTTCATTTGCCAATTTGATCCTGATATAGTTTGATTCCCAAGTATCAACAAAAATTTGATTAATTTTCTGAAATGATTTTTCCTAAATTAAATTCTAATTCTAATTCTAATTATTATTATTATTATTATTATTATTATTATTATTATTATTATTATTATTATTACTATTATTATTACTATTATTATTATTATTATTATTATTATTATTATTATTATTATTATTATTATTATTATAATTATTATAATTATTATTATTATTAAAAAATTATTACAACAAATTATATTATATTCTTATAACTATCCAATATCTTTTTTAATTCCAATTCCCATTCCTAACATTTCAAATAAGATTGGAATTAAATCAACCACTAACAATCCAACACCTAATAAATAAGTAATAAGAAAATAATCAATACAGATAATATTTTATGTAATGACGCATATAATTTTAAACTCACCAGCATAAACTATAAATTTGACAGCAACATCAATATCATTTCTAAAAGATAATTTCTTGACAATAACAACTGATTTATTCTTAGTCACACTGTTTATTCCACTTTTCCTGTCATTCTTCTTGATTCTCTTTTTCTTATTATTATTTAGATTTTTTTTCAAATTTTCATTAATTTCAATATTTGAATTAGATGATGATTCTGATTGGTGAGAATTGAACAATTTAATAATGGGTGAAAGAATAAAACGCAAAATTTTTTTTGAAAAAAATCTCCAAAGAAATAATATAATCACTCCTATTAAATAGATACATTGATATATAGATATAGAATAATTAGCCAAACAAACAAACAAACAAACAAACAAACAACCAACCAACCAACCAGTCAATCAATCAATGTAATATAATTAATTTTACCAAATATGATTCTTGCAATTGATATTGGAAATCCAATAATATTATAATCATATGGAATATTTGCTACACCAGATCCATGTAGACTATATGAAGATTTTGCATGTCTCCAACTTCCAAAAATCATTCCTACCAAAACACCAATAAATGCAACACTATAATTTATAATAAAGATTACGTCGATTTAGAAAAAAATAAAAAATATTTTTAAAAATATTTTTCTTTCATACCAATCTTCAAAGCATGGACAATCATCTACTGGTTCAGGAAATATATAAATTGTAAATATTCCAATAAATATAATCCCAATTGGAACTGTTTGTTTTGGGAGAGAAAAATTAGTATCATTTAACCAAAATCAATTAAATGAGATGAATGAATGAATAATTTTCACCTAATAAACTATCATTCAATATCAATTCTTCAATATTATTTTGCCATCCCCATTGAGTCCACCACGATAAAATTCCAATACACACACCTGCTAAAACATCTAGCAAAAGGATACATAATTTATAAAACATTTCCCAATTAATCAATTAATCAAATCAATCATATTTTATTTGACCATTTTTTTAACCAAATAATTACCAGTGATGCTATGCATTCCACAATAAATACGACCGATTGTTATGGTCAAACAATAAGTTGACAATATAGTGACATAAATGCTTTTTATTAATACATTATAGAACCCATCTTCTTCTACCATCTCCATGACAGCTTTTCCTTCGTCAACTGAAAATATAAATGATAAAAAATAAAGTGTTATTGAGACTGCATTTGTGGTGTGAGTTGATGGAAACCCATATTCTAAGTGCAAAGTTCCTGAAACTGTCAGACGTTGAATTGGAGGTGATAGCGGACGTGGGAGACATAACATATCCTTTGATTATGTAAGTGATTTATAGAGATATTTTAAATATATTTACAAAATAAAAATGTTGTCATTAATCAAGAAAAATATAGTGAAAAAGGCTTACTTTTACATATCCACTCCAAACAACTCCCAATCCGACTACCATAGTCAATCTATTAATTAATTAATTGGCAATATTATTTATTATATAAATAAATGATCAATTATTAATTAATCAATTAATTAATTAATAATTAATTAATTAATTAAATGACTACCAACAAAATCAACCCACCCTCTAGCAAATGGTGCATATCCAAACCAAAATATTATTGGAAGAGCTATCAGAAAAAATGTGTGATTACCCAAAGAAGCTGAAGTGGTGAAATACCAATCAAAAAATGAATTTCTAAGCGAACCCTAAAACAAATGTAATATTAATTATTAATTAATTAATTATAATTTGGAAGAACAATTAATTGACTAGCAAACCTGAATGCGAGTTAATAATTTTGTCTCGCTACGAATTATAGGTAAAATTAGTTGTCTTATTTTTGAACTTCTTGTTGATAAGAATTTGTCATAATGTGCCTCAGGTAAAATCCCTGCCTCCAAAGATTGTTTATGCATTACTAACTTTTTTTTCTAATCTATAACGTTAAATATGCTAAATATTATTATTATATTCATCGGCATCATCTATTTACAAAAGTAGGCTGTAGCACATAACGCAGGACCCTGGATAATTATCCTTAAATGGCTAAACGCAAAAACCTATTCTATTTAAGGAAACCGGGTCCTATATGTACTACCAATTATTCCGAATGTTAATTAATTTTAATTTATCATTATGGTGTCATAGTCCTGATCATCATCAATAATGAAATAGTCATTGTGGTGTGTTTCTATGAATAGAAGAGTTGATCACCAATTAACAAAAATGGTTACATTTATACTTGTGTGTTGTTGATTGGGCTTTTAGAAATCAGCTTTAAATAAACCAAAAAACTAGCGAAATATTCAATTCAATAAAGTTTGGAAGACCTCAGATCAGATCAGATCAGATTTTAAAGAAATCTGGTCTGGTCTGATTCTTTAAAAAATTGATATGGTCTGGTCAAAAAAAAAAAAGATTGGATTTTCATGAAAATAAATAAAATTTATTTGATTATTTACAAGGACTGTGCCATGCAAACAGAAAATTAAAATATATAAAGAAGAAGGATTTTAGCAGGAATAAAGTTCAATTTCAAACGAACACAAGAATCTACTCTTAGGTAGCAGAAGTAGTGGAAATGGTAATGTTGTCATCATAACAATAAAAAACAAAATCACTGATAACCAACTTGGATCGAATCCAAAAACTTATTTATATTTACCCAGCTATCTATGTTTACTCTTTGCTATATTAATAGAAACGTGTGAACTCTAAAAATCAACTTTGGGTTCATACCACACTTGTATGTAACCTTGTGAATAAAACATTTTTGGCTTGAAAATCATACCCACCTTGTATAGTAAAAATTTGAAATATTTACTCTTAATAGCAAATTCCTTAATATGCAAATGAGCATTTCAGCCGAAAATTCACTCGAAATTTTATTGGTATTAAGTAAAGTTGGTATGATTTCTAAATTAGTTAGTATATGACGAATTGCAGGATTTAAAATCATGTTTTTTCCGCGCCCATATGGTCTATTTTGATTTGATCTTAGAAGGTGGATTCACCAGCGATAAAAAACACTCGAGAATATGGAAATATTTCAAACAGTCATTCAATAAGGAAAAAACTGAGCATGACTCGGATTTTCCTTTAATAAAATGGTAACTGGAATTGGTGAGTTAGCTTGCTTGAGAAGAAAGAATCTCTAAAAATTCTTACCAACAAAAAACCGATCCTCGGAAGAAAATGATAGAAGCAATTCGGGAATGGATTAATAAGGAAAAGAAGAAAAGACAAAGATATTACACTTTTGTTGATACATTTTGTGATGATTATGCGATACATTTGATGTTATTATTCGAAATAAAATTAAATAAATTGCTAATAATCCTTGAGATCTGAAGCAAGAGAAAATAAAATGATTTTCCTTTTCTCATATACTATCATTATTATTAGTGGCATACAACAGAGCACCTTCCTAACAATAATACGATTAAATTAGCATATTGTCAGATTTAATAAAATTATCATCCTTTTTACACATATACAAGCCTTTCATGAGATCTCTGCTCAATCCTTTTGCTCATTAATTTAAGAATTATTTACTTGTGTCTTCGAGTCAAAAAACTAGAATAAAGAGACAAATTCAATGGCTTCTACCTATAACTATTTTACTATTTTCGATGACATCTAAAAATCCATCCACAAACTAAATAACTTAATAATAGTTTGCACAACGGGAGCTTTGATCCGACAATAATGATATAAATTTATTATCAAACAAATTTATTTGTTGTCTTGTCTGCTTATGTAAAGACTAATATACATGTCACAAGCATAGGAGAAGCAATTGGGAGTGTGAGACTCATTAAATCATAGGAAACATCATAATAAAAAAATAAATATTTAATAAAATAAGCATTCAAGATTGTGAACATGGATAGTAATAGGAGAAACTTCAATAGGCCCCAGCAGATTTATTATTATTTCAAAAAACCAGAATTCAATTTCAATTGAAGAACCACCCTGAATTTTCCATTGTATCATACCCTTCACGTCCACAAGGTTTATAATATCTTTGATTAGGTGTTTTCTGGAATATATTATCCATTATCTTTGGTTAACGATACCCTGTCATCAGTTGATTTATTTCCTGTGCTGCAAAAGTAATATAAATGGATCACAAACCATAAATCTCCGAGAATCCAATTTATCTACCATATAAGCACCACACACACTATTCAAGAAATCCCTTACCAACAAGGCCAGGCTTAACCAAACCAGGTGCAGGATAAACACCACACTAATTATCATTTTCTGCTCTAAATTTCTTCAAGAAAATTGAAACTTTTCATCCATAAAAAAATTTGCGCCCAAGATAAATCTTGTTTTACTGCCAAGTAAATTAGGATGGGGCGGTTCTTAGAACCGGTTCCAAAATAGATGTAACACAAAATATTATTGTCAAAACTAATTTTCTTTGAAAATTTTCACTACATATAAAATTTCTTTAAGGGTATTACTTCCTAATATGAAAACAGTCTATGTATCTAGTCATTGTCCATATTTAATGTTGACGATTATTTTTGTTTTGCCAATCACTAAATTGACCAATAGGAATGAAGGAAGGTAAATGAAAATGACAAAAACGGATATTAAAATATCCCGATATGGCGA